TTTAAAGTAGTTGCTCTTTTTATTCAATTAGCAAAATTTAGTTRAGTTCTAAATAAAACGCTACCGTTTGCCTTACAAAGTACATAGTAAATATTAGTTGCTTGTTGTTATTAGTAAACAAAAAAGAAAAAAAAAAAATCAAAATACAAAAAACTGCCTGCCTCTCTATCTCGATTGTTTATCAAAATTCGTTAAAACTAATTGCATAATTTTTTCTTTCTTTTCCTTTCATTTCTTTTTACAAACTTTGATAACGCGATTAATTGTTGTTGTTTTTAAATATAAAACAAAAAAATTCAAAAAATAAATAAATCAAATAATTTCAATTAAAATTCACTTAATTTGTATGTGAATGCTCACACAAAAATATAAACACACACATGCATATATGCGCGCGTATGTGTGCGCGCCGAAAACGCATTAAAAACACGCTTTTTATGTTAATTGCTTGCGCTCGTGTCTCTTGTTGCACGTTGCTGTTGAACAAATTTGACTAAAACAACCATACAAAATAAATAAAAAAAAAAAAAATACAAAAATAATTTTTGGTGAATATCTTGCTTGTCATGTTTGCATATGTTCATATATATTTATGTAAATCACACCTCCATTTTCACACACACACACACATACAAACATTCCAAAACACTCACAAAATAAAAAACCGTTAGACTAAAGCCAAAGCGAACAAGTCGAAAAAAGATAAAAAGTCCAAAGTTAGCAAAAGTGAACCGCCTACAAAAGCCAAATCCACTAAAAAGAAGCAAGACAAAGCGCCTGCGCAGTCCACACCGCGTACCACACCCACCAACGCACAAACTAAAGCGGCAAAGAAAAGCGCTAGCCATGAAGCCAAAACGCCAACAARCGCTAAGCGCGCCGAAACGTGCAGCAAGCGCAAGCGTGAAAGCCCCGCGCTACAAGTGGCGTATGCCAACGAGTCGAAAGCAAGCCAAAAAGCAAAGACACAAACCACATTCACAACGGCAGCGCAATCACCACAGACGCAAACCACGCCATCGTCACGCTTCAGGTATCAACGGAAAGCCAAGACACCAACCACTGGCTATGCGATCAGCTATGTCGAGCCACCGAGTCCGCTCAGCGAGGACACACCGGTGGAGGAGGAGTCGAGCAATAGCAGCGCAAGTGTGCACGAGCCRCCAGCTAMCACGACCAATCAGACGCAGGAGCGCACCAAACCAAAAGCCGACGACAACGGCACGYGGCAGCCAAGCACACCGAAGTCACATAAGCGCGCCAAGTCGCACAAGCATAAGAAGCGCAAAAAGAAGAAGCACGAGCTGGGCTCACAAAGCGAAGAGGAAACCGACGTGGCGGTGAGTGGTGCTTCGGCAAAGACATCKCGCATGAACGGCGTAGTGATCGCCACCAGTTGCGTCGAGAACGCCAGCGGCGGCGGCTTAAATGGCGCCGCGTCCATCGTGGGCGCTAACGAACATGGCAATGTTAATGGCGCTAAACCGCCGCTAACCACAACAATCAAGCTCAATGTGAAAGCACAGAATGAGAATCAGGCGAAGAAGACGCGTAGTTCTAGCAACAAAAAGCACAAGAGACGCAGATAAAATTAGAAAAAATGAGGACGACAGGCGGGYCAAAGACGCCGAAAGCAAATATCTAAATTGCAAATAAAAGCACAAAGCCATAAAAGTACAAAAACAAAAATAAAAACAAAAACGGAATTGAACCAAAAATTACTCGGGTCTTTTAGCTATACACTTTCGCAAATATGCGGTTTATTTTAACGAAAAACACTATCTGACAGTAACAACAACAGCAACAACTGTAGTAAACAATAGCGTTAAGGCAAAAGTTATTCTCAATAATTATAAATACAACAAATATAGCGTTTAAAAGTAAAAAACAAAACCAACAAAAACAACAATTTAGGTTTCTGCCACAAGTTCAAGTGTGTCTGTCTGTATGTATGTATGTGTGTGTACACTTGCAACTGTGCAACTACAACAACAACATAACAAACAGCATATAACAACAATTTGATCTTCTTCTTCTTCCACCACGCATCTGCCATCCTTCTCCGCACGCTCCTCCTTRTTATTACAGTACTGCCAGTTCTGCACATCTGGCGAGAACGAGGATAAGCTGCTGTTATGCGACGGTTGCGACAAAGGCTATCACACCTACTGCTTCAAGCCGAAAATGGACAATATACCCGATGGTGATTGGTGAGTACTAACACACACTTATTTTCATATGCATTTACATACAAGCTCACATAACCGTATACATATAACTTCAGTTCATCAGGGTAGTGAGGTGTAGAGGGTGTCTTATACTTTCCCAACTTAGACGGCTCTACTTAATCGGAAGGGTATACTTCTTGATATACTTTTTGATCAAATTTGACCCGAACTGACAATTTTCTGTATACTTGTTGTATGCCTCCACTGGTATGCCCTCCGATGTCTTCAGTCCTCGGTCTTTTGGTTTGACTCTAATACGATCGGATCCATAAAACATCTTGAGATCCTTTGCTATATATTTTCTATCAACACGTTGATTTTCAAGCACACTTTTTGTGACTTTTTCAATGTTATCGTYATTAACGTGAATGAACGACACATTATCGACGACTAGTGCCACTTAAATCCTTGTATTCGTGATAAAGTAGACGCACCAAATTACTTGCAAGAACTCAATAACWGGGCGCGCTTGCTAGACCTTACAAGAACTCCAAATTRTATATGTATTTACTAGGCAAGATTATGTTCWAGGTGCTACCAAAAAAAAATTTAGAACATGTGGTTATGTTTAATGTACATATCTAAATCAGTTATTCAACAAGATGGCGAAGTACTGGTAATGCGCATGTAACCTTAGCCCTGCCTTATGCACAAGAAATGTGAACTCACAATCGATCGTACTCTGTTAAATACTGATTAACTGTTAACAACCTGTTTTGACCTTATCAGTGTCTTCCGACATGGTAAATCAAATATTGACCAGATTTTCACGATACGCCAACTTCTGTAAAGATACCGATCTCTTAAGAAAACGAGTTCTTTAATCTAATGCTTAAGAAAATTATTCACTCTGTAGACTTTCACCATACCACTATGTATTTCTAGAGTTACCAATTACTGGCCTATGCCAACTAAATTTATATATTTAACCGCAACAACAGTAACTCCTGTTATCAAACAAAGACGCTCCACGATTGGGATATCACCGCACTGTTCACAGTTATACGGTACGAGGTAGACTTCGTTTATCTAACCTAAACTGATCTCGTTCGAGAGTAAAGTCCTCTGAAGGTTGCCCGAATGGAGAAAAACACACCAGCTAGCAAAATGTAAGATTCGGTGCCCCCTGGTGGCCGACGAAGAAAGGGAAAACCCAACTCTGATGAGAGGATCAAATGAGTGCACACCTAGTGAAACTTTAAGTCTGCATCTTTCGCCATCTTTCGAAATGTAGAAACCACTGTCGAAATCTTCCCATTTATACTATTTGAAAAAGCAAAATGAGATTTTTGCAACATAACCTCAAAGTGGACATATCAAACTATCTTCAGATCAACTAAATTTAGAATTCAATTGTAGTTATAATATAAATGAAGCATAAACTAAATTTCGTCTATTAAATTCATCCCTAATTCTAATTTATTATTAACCAAGCTCTGCAAAATGTTTGCATTTTTCTTACCATTCGCATTTTTATACTAAATATACACTAAATATACATTTGACTCTTTATGCAACGTATCCCCTTTTGCTTATTTTTCATATATTCTCCTTCGAATTCACAATTTATCGCTCTCCATATTCTAAAGTCCCCTCCAGAGAGTTTCTCAATTTATACAAAAACATCTCTGTTCCCCATGTATTTCTATTTTTTTTTTTTTTTTTTTTTTTATCAAAAACTTTATTATTTTATTAATTTCCAACCATTTTGGTTTGTTTGTTTCACAACTACTTTCCAGGTATTGCTATGAGTGCGTCAATAAGGCGACGAATGAACGCAAATGTATCGTCTGCGGTGGCTTGCGGCCCTCACCCGTTGGCAAAATGATCTATTGCGATTTGTGTCCGCGCGCCTATCATGCCGACTGCTACATACCGCCGCTGCTGAAAGTGCCACGTGGCAAGTGGTACTGTCACGGCTGCATCACGAAGGCACCGCCGCCGAAGAAACGCACGAGCAGTAAACCGCGACGTGATCGTGACTCCTCGAAGCGACGYGATCGTCACAGCAACTCATCGACATCATCGAATATAGACATACAACAACAGCAACAGCAACAACAACAGCATCAGCAACACCAATTACAGCTACAACAACAGGCTGCGGTTCTAGCGCAGGCGCAGGCCATGGCAGCTGCCTCGGCGGAACACCACCTGCACAATTCATCGCAGCTATCGCTGAATTCGTCGCATGACGAGTCGATGACCTCGTTACCGACGCCGCTCAGGTAGGTCGCTCAGGCAGCGCCGCATGTCACGCCTGACGTTACTAACCCGCCTCTGGTATTTGCAGTCCRGCGCATTCGATTGCCTCCACYACATTCGACGATCAACAACACAATAACTCGATTGACGCGACGCGTTTTCAGCATCARCAGCAACTACAACAACATCAGCAACAAATGGTTGGTGGTAATGCTGCCGCTTTGGCAGTGGGTATGCATGTTGGCGCTGTTGTAGGTMTGGCCGCACCAACTACAATGCTGCCAGATGCTATTGGCGCAACGCCGCTGGTCCACAACAACATACTCGGTGCACATTTAACGAATAACGAGTACGCGACAACAGATGGCGCTCCGGCCACAGCAACGGCTATGCTAAATCCCATGATTGGCGGCGTACTTCCGCTTCCCCCGCCCATTTTCAACAGCGCGACTTCAAGCGGCTATGCGACGCCACCATCAACACAGCAACAGCTACAAACTCCACACGCGCCACTATCAGCCGGTGGCGCATTGCTGCCACACGCGACGCCATCAATCCTGCCAATAGTAAGTAGCGCGGCCGGYGGCGCATCCGCGGTGCCCGTCAACTACATGGCGCTGACAGCCAGCCAGCAGCAGCATCTCGCACAGCTGCAAATGAACAGTAACGGTGGCGTGCAGTTGCCACCGCCATCTTCACCCTACAATGCAGCCACACAATCGCCGCTGCCGCCACACGCATTACTGCCGCCCACCAGCGCTCTGAGCACATCGCCACAACCAACCACAACACTACCGCTCATAATGCCGCCAACCGGCATGGGTCAACAACAACAACAACAACAGCCACAATTGTCGCCACTGCTGCAATCATCGATTTTGTCGCCACAACACCACAGCAGCAATCATGCACCGACGGCCAGCAACATGCACTCGCCGCGTGCCAGCACGCCAACACAACATTCACCGCAAACGGTTGGACACCACTCGCAGTCGCAATCGCCGGCCGCTCATCAGTTTGGCGGCCTCTCGCCGATGACATCGTCGCCCATGAGCCAATGCGGTACACCACAACCACCACCGCCGCCGCCACTGAATGTCCATGCGGTGCAGGAGGCGAAAGAGAAGCTGAAACAGGAGAAGAAGGAGAAGCACGCCACCAAGAAGCTGATGAAGGAGTTGGCCATATGCAAAACACTGCTTGGCGAAATGGAGGTGAGTGTATGCTAGTGTCTAGACTATGAGCTATGTTCTAATTATACCGTTACTTTGCAGTTGCACGAAGATTCGTGGCCATTCTTGCTGCCAGTGAATACCAAACAATTTCCGACCTATCGTAAGATAATTAAAAATCCCATGGACTTGTCCACAATCAAGAAACGCTTACAGGACTTGACGTGAGTGCCATTCTTTGGTGTTTCTTTTATTTCTATTTATTGTTTTTTTTTCTTGTTTTACTCTGAACAAGAGCTATTAAGTTTGCTGTTATAATTCCAATTAATTTTTGTCCACTTCACTCTCCTAACAGCTACAAAAGTCGCGAAGACTTCTGCGTCGACGTCCGTCAAATATTCGACAACTGTGAAATGTTCAATGAGGATGACTCGCCGGTCGGCAAGGCGGGTCACGGCATGCGCAAATTTTTCGAGCTGCGCTGGGCTGAGTTGACCGACAAGCACTCATGATATCAAATGCATCACCACCTCAAGTATTCTAGTGATTAAGTGAACAAAACGCTGCAGAAGAGAGCAGCAAAAATTAAATCCAAATTTAAAAAATGCGGAGCAGTTAAATTAGAAGAGAGTAAATGTTAGTAGAAGGCAGAAAAAATCATATGAAAAACTAAAACTTTTAATTATTCCAAAAAATACAAATAAATTCAAAATTTATGAAAAAAAAAACACAGTAAAAAAAGCAATTTTAAGTGAAATCATATGAATCTTTCGGCACACAACAAAAACAAACATTCAGGCTAAGCATATTACATAATTATTAACGATTGCAAGTAGTGCAAGCAAGTGTGGCAACCATTTGAGGCACTGAAGCAAGCACGAAGCAGTCACAACACAATAAGGAAGGCAAAAGCAACATGAGAAAGAAGAAGAAACACTAAGAGTGATGTGGTATTTATAAATATACATATACATACATACATATACATATATATATATAGTAACTTGCATGCATATGTAGTATATAGTGCATATGCATAGTCGGTTAGTTAAGAGAAATGTTGATAATAACTAATGTATTATTTTCAAAATAAAAGAAACTCAAAAAACAAAAACCAAAACAAAGAAATTGTAACGAAATATATCAGCAATCATGTAAAAGGCTAAAAGAAAGCAAAAAAAGATATACATAAAAGAAATTAATTTTAAATAAAACATTTTGAGTAGACAAAGGGCGAGTGTAGATAGTGGTTAATAGTGTGGGCCAAAAGTATGTGTACAAGTGCTTATGTGGAAAATATTTTGGTTTTTTGTTTTTGAGAGGCAGAATATTTTTGGTCTTGGTAAAAGCATAAATTGTAATTATAATTATTTATATTTTGTTTTTTT